TACGTAAAATAATTATAAAACAGTCTTAAAAATCAACATTATCTACCTCATTCATTAAATTAATAAAAATTAAACATTTTCTATTCGTTGAAACTTAATTTGATCTTTTCATCATTCTTTACCAATCACTTCCTTAACAATACCAATTATAGTATCTAATAATTGAATTGAAATACAAAAGAAAGCCACAGCAACGCGTATATATATATATTCAATTTATCAGACATTTTTGCGGGTACTAAAATTAAGAGTAAGATAAAAAAAAAAAGATTTACATAAAAAGATTTATAAATGAATGTACTTCTGAATTTGATTTTTATGTACTTTTGCTTGTTAATATACTTGGCTGCTTTATAAATCTACTTTGCCAAATATATATATATATATATATATATACAGGTTAATGATCACTTTAAATATATATATATACATATATATATGAGGCTTGATGGCCGAGTGGCTAGCGCTCTAGCTCTCGGTACCACAGGTTTCGGGTTCGAGTTCGCTACAACATCCGGCATTGCCGTGGATGTTTGTAGTGGTTCGGAATCCACTTTAAACCGTAGGTCCCTGTCTAACAGGATCGTAGAGCATTGAAGGAGTATTGTTACTCCGTATCCGTAGTTATCTTCAAGCTACACGCACCACCTGGGAGTATTGAGTGAGTAATGTCTGTGCAAGCCCTTGCTTATAGCAAATAAGACAACTGCCCTAAATATTTGCCTGCAGCACTAGAAACATACATATATAAGTATAGAAAAGTTATATCAGAATGTAAGTAGAGAAAAATTATGCATCACTTTAAACCATTAGTATTTTGCAGTTAATTTTTCCTAAAGTTTAAAGTTCTCACAGTATCCCAAAATTTACATAAATAAGAAGCCAACGGATCATTCTATAATAATTTGTTTTTATATTTGTCACAATTATGAGATCGATTTTTACATGTACTTTCCTTTTTATTCTCATTGCGAAATACTCAAAGTCATCCTCAGCATGAGCTTTCTCAGCTAGTTACGGGAAGCTTCAAAATTATTCGACGTATTTTTGTTCACAAGTGATAAATTAAAGATCATAAATGATTTCTAAGATATTTTTTATAAATACAACAGTTAAAAATTAGTTCACAAATTTTCTTCATTCGTTTTACGAAAGTTTAGCACAATACTAAAGATTCTTTTTGTTAACTGTGTTTTATTCTGTGTTTTGGACACAGTAGTACTTCACCTCTTCAACTTCGAAGCGAAAAAGTTGTCACTACGACTATCGTGTTTATTTCTATCGGTGGTTCAGTTTTTCTTGTTAGCCCAGCTTTCTGATGGTTCGAGAAGTATTGATCAATCCATACAAACATTTATGGAATCTTCATTTATTTACAAACAATATTTTGCAAAGATATACAGGGTTGATGGTAACAGTTCAAAGGCAAAAACTAAACTGGAAGAAAATGTTCTTTTTGGAATAAAACAACTCGTTTCCACAGCAACTGCTGGTCTCCACGGCAACAGCCCGTTTCCATAGCAACCAACAGCCCGTTTCCACGGCAACAGTGCAATTCTGAATCGGTTTCATACGATTTCTATAAAACTATCACGTGATGCTGCGTGGCGCGAACTAAAGCATAAGAATTCCAACAAAGTTGAATGTGTATGCATTTTTCTTCCGAAGTCTGTATTTGTAAGCGTCCAAAAAAGGTTCACTTTCTTCTGAACCAGGAAGTAGACTCCGGGGTAAAAAATAAAATGGATTCCATGCAGAGTGCAGAAGACTCGGTGGCATTTTTGTTCCTATACGTGTTGATTTTCGAGGAGATTTCGAGTATATTCAGATCAATGGGAAACGGAGCAAAAATGCATGCAACGCTAAATCCAATCATAAGTTAATAATTTTTTTTGTAATTGTATGTCTGTATTTTTATAGCAAATATTTTTTCTAGAACTTATTTTACTACATTCTCATATTTCATTGCAAGATGTTTTTCAATGTTTTACAAAAGAAAATTTATTCATTTTGGTGACATTGTTTTTTTTTTTATATATTTATTTATTTTTATTTTGTTATTATTTTAATTTATTCGACATACTTGCAGGTAAAATTAAGGATTAGATATAAAAAATTATTTACGAAAAAAAGCTATATAAATGTACTTTTTACCCTTTAATGTACTTTGCTCCTTTATAAACCTACTTTGTCAAAAAAATCACTTTTATATATATATATATATATATATATATTTGTATAAATATATATATATATAAAAAGTCGTAGGTCCCGGTCCAACATAATCAACATGATCGTAAAGCGTTGCGGGGTATTGTTACTCCGTGTCAGTAGTTTATCTTCAAACTACACGTATCCACGTATCACCTGGGTAGTGCTGAGTGAGTAACATCAGTGCAGGCACTTGCTTATGGCAAAAAGACAACTGTCTAAGTATTTACCAGCAGCATTAGAAAATATATATACATATATATATATAAGTAGAAAAAAAATTATATCAGAATGTAAGCAGAGTAAAGTTATGTATCACATTAAAACCATTAGTAGTTTGCAGTAATTTTACCAAAAAGTTTAAAATTCGCACAGTTTCTCAAAATTTACATAAATAAGAAGCTAACGGATAATTTTTAACAAATAATTTGTTTTATATTTGTCACAGTTATGAGATCTATTTTTACATATGCTTTCATTTTATTCTCATTGCGAAATACTCAAAGTCTTCCTCAGAATAACCTTTTTTTTCTACCTCAGCTAGTTATGAGAAGTTTCAAAATTATTGAACATATTTTTGTTCACAAGTGACAAACTAAAGATCGTAAATGATTTTTAGATATTTTGTTATAAACACAACAAATAAAAATTAGTTTTTAAACTTTCTTCATTCATTTAAAATAACGCTAAAGATTATTTTGTTAACACACGTGCTACTGTGCCAGTGCAATGCGAGCTGGCGCAGTGTTTTCGGTACCAATCGAGATTTGACGCGTTTGAGGCCCAAAATGAAATTGACCGATCCTTTTGAAATTCAAACACCATCAGCAAAGTCTCTAATTATAAATCGACGGTTTTCAAGCGCCAAATCTTTAATTTTTTTTGGACGTGAGCTTCGTCGGTTGAGGTGGATGGTCGACCACTGGGCTCTTCTTCTTCAACACGAAGCAACGCGTTCTCTACCTTCTTTGAAATGTTTATACCACTTGTAAACACTTCTTTCTGATATAGGAATGCTAGTCAAATGCCTTCTACGACATTCTATACGTTTCCGCAAACAAAATTGAAACGCAATTTCTTTGCTCAGTTAATTAAGACATTTCAAAAATCGCCGGAATCACGTTTTAGCGTCTCACAAAGCCAAGCGTAACTCAAACACTAATGAATATTTTGACATCAAATTTCGCACAAATGTCAAGGCCAGTGCCAGCAACCTAAAAAAAAAATTGAAATTCCATAAGCCCCGGAAATTTTAAACTGAAAATTGGTCTTACGTTTTGGACACAGTAGTACTCCACATCTTCAACTAGAATCGAAAAAGTTGAATGTGTATGCATTTTTCTTCCGAAGTCTGTATTTGTAAGCGTCGAAAAAGGTTCACTTTCTTCTGAATCTGGAAGTAGACTCCGGGGTAAAATAAAATGGATTCCATGCAGAATACACAGGACTCGGTTGCATTTTTATTCCAATACGTCTTGATTTTCGGAGAGGTAGTATATTCAGATCAATGGAAAAGGGAACAAAATACGTGTAATGCTAAATCCAATCATAAGATTCTTTTCTATTCTTTTTTTTTGTGTGTGTGTGTGTATGTGTGTGTGCATGTGTGTATTTTTATAACAAATATTTCTTTCTGCAACTTATTTTACTACATTATCATATTTCACTTTTGCAAGATGTTATTCAATATTTTACATTTTAAATACAAAAGAAGATTTAGTCGTTTTGGTGACTTTGGTTTTTTTATTTTGATATTTTCAATTTATTCGATATTTTTTAGAGTACTAAAATAAAAAATATATTTACAAAAAAAAACTTTATAAATGTACCTTTGCCTTTGCTTTTTGATGTGTATACTTTGCTGCTTTGTAAATCTACTTTGCCAAAAAATACATTTGTAAAACAACGCTTTAAAAAAAAAAAAACGGCGTCCAGGATACAAGTAGAGAAAAATTATGCATCACATTAAAATCATTATTATTTCGCTGTAATAATTTCCTTAAAGTTTAAAGTTCTCTCAGTTTTGTACCATTTTTTCCACGGGAAGAGTTGTGGAATTCCGTTCCCAGGTTGAAGGATAAGTCACCAAATGTGGTGTCGGATTTCTTGTATAGTTTGAAATTCACTTCTCACTTCTTAAAAAATTTTTTGAACCAAAAAAAAAAAAATCTTTTGACGCCAAATTCCAACGACACCTGTTCTGCGATTTTACCAAAAATTTAATAATAATTAGGTTCAAATGAGGAGATATAATTTATGTCATTTACCTCTTATAATTTGTACTGTTTCATTTTCATAATAGAAAAAGATATTTCATCTCCCACTTGCTTTGTTCATTTAACCATTGTGGTTTCCATTAAATTAAATGCTTCAGTGAATATTGTTAACACTATTCATCAGAAAAAAAATGGTGATCGAATTCTGAATCTTGAAACTTTCTTTCAGTCACATATAAAATCAGAATTGTATTGAACTTAACAGATTATACCATGTATGTTGTTGTTGCTGTTTCTTATCCCACTTGGCTGGCCAAGCCCCGAACCCATACGTACTCATGATTGAAGGGAAAGGAAGCAGCTTCTGTTGTTGTGATGGAGCAGCCTTAGGTAGAAACCTGACTTTGGCTCCGTGACGCTCTTACAGTCATGGGAGACCGGGACCTACGGTTTAAAGTGAATTCCGAACCACTACAAACATCCAGGGCACCACCGGGATTCGAACCCGAAACCTGTGGCACCGAGCACCAGAGCTCTAAACACTCGGCCATTCAGGTCCCAAATTTTGAATGCCGACGGTACGCGGTGTTCCCATGTGGTCACCCACCCAAGTACTGAAATGATGCTTGACTTCGGTGATCTAACGAGAACCGGTTATTCAGCATGGTATGACCGTTGGCATATATCATGTATACATTTCATATTTATATATTTTGGCATTATTACTTTATTAAATATTGTCTTCAAATCTTTCATATTTTTTAAAAACACAAAAAATATTTAGCTTTCTACTTAAGATCATTTATTATCGATCTTTATGTTTTTCATCGAACTACTAACAAGCAAGTGTAATTAATAATTTGAGCATTCATTATATTTTTATTAAAATTGTACTGAATTATTGATTATTTGCCTTCTTAATATTGAAGAGGAGCTTTTTTTCTTTTTCTTAAAATTGAAGAGGAGCAATCTTTATGTTTTTCAAGGAACTAATAACAAGTGTAATTAATAATTTGAGCATTCATTGTATTTTTATTAAAATTGCACTGAATTATAGATTATTTGCCTTCTTAAAATTAAAGAAGAGTTCATAGTTTATTAGACAGCATTGGTTTATTTTATTTTATTTTTTAGTATATGAATATGATATACATTAATAAAGTAATTTTTTTTCTTAATTTTGAAAATTTTTAAGAATATATATAAAGAAGATTAGTGCTTAACATTTGAAAATTAGTTTTTTTGCTACATTTTTTTTTTTATTGCACAAAAGCTTGTTAATATCTAAACAAATGAGAAAATAAAAATAAAAAAATTGGACCAAAACACAAAATAAGGGCTCTTGGATTTGTCCACCGATTAAAGGGAGCGATAAGTCATCGAATGTGGTAACACGGGTTTCTTGCACAGGTATTTTTTTTGCAATTCATTTCAATTGCAACCCTTTACTTGGCAGACTTTGGCGAACATAATTGATCAAATATTTTAAAACTTCTTAGTGAAAAATAAGCAAGTGAATTACTTCCACGCAAATTTTAGAAATTATGACTTTCTTTCCCCCCTCTCTCTAAGTACAACAAAAAAGGGAAAGATTCTTTTGTTAAACCTTCAAAAATTTTTTTTTTTTTTTTTTTTTTTTTTTTTTTTTTGAAAAGCGACACGTACTCCATATTCTGAATCGAAAACATTGAATGCTTTTGCATTTCTATTCCGAAATCACTATTTATAAGCGTCAAAAAAACGCCCCTTCAGAATCGGGGAGTAGACTCCAGAGAACGATAAAATGGATTCCACGCAGAATAAAGAAACGCAATTTTTTATTTCTATTTATCGTGATTTTTCAAGTGGGTGGTTTTACATGGATCAATGATAAACAAAATATGTGTAATGTAAATTCCAATCGTCAGTTTATTATATATATTATCTTCTTTTATTTTAACGCATCTCTAACTATTTTTTTTCGTTGTAAAAAACTCTTCCTTTTATCTGTGTTTTTCAAATCTCTTCAATTTCAAAAGAACATTTGTTCAACTGCGTAAATTTGTTCATAGTTTTTTTAGAAAATCTTGTTTTATTTTCATTTTTTTATTATATAAATATTATACTCATTAATAAAGTAGTTTTTTTTTTTTTTTTTTTTAATCTTTAAGAATATATATATAAAGACGATTAGTGTTTTACATTTGAAAATTAGTTTTCTGCTAAAGTTTTTCTTTCTTATTTTACAAAAGCTGGAACTTACGTATTAACGCCACCTTAGCTACAGATTTGGCGGTTTTTAAGTGGCGCCAATCTAACAGCTACAATAAAGTGTAGATTGGCGCCACTTAAAAACCGCCAAATCTGTACCTGCGGTTGGCGTTCAAAAGATAACTGCGTGCGCGTGCGAACATCAAGATTGCTCTTTATTGGCGCAACTGTAGCTAAGTGGCGTTAATACGTAAGTACCCAAAAGCTTCTTAATATCTAAGCAAATTAACAACAAAAATTAGTCAAAATCACAAAATAGGGGCCGTTGGTACTGGTGACTTTTTGTGGCACCAACTGATGGATAAGTCGGCAAATATGGTAACCCGGTTTTCTTGTACTTGTAATTTTTGCAATTCATTTCAATCGCAACCCCTTACTTGGCAAACACAATTTTTAGCCAAATCCGAACGGCCCATATTCTGCAATTCTACCTATAAATGATCAATAACCCAAAAATTTATGAAGTAATTGCTCAGAATACTACAAGGAACGGGAGTTCTTCATTTTAGGGTTCCGCTTGTTTATTTGGCTTTTTTTCCCTTGCGAGTTTCGTCCTCTTAGACAAACATGGCCACTGCAGTTATAAAATGCTTGTTTTGGCGATTCTGTTTGGCGTGGAAATGAGACTTGGCGAAATCGGAACTCAAAAGTGTAGCCTCAAAAGAGCTATCAAATTTAATAGCCACAGAAAGTATACCAGAATTTTATTAACTCTAAGACATCACTAAGAAGCGATTGTTTAAATACTACAAGAAGCACTACCAAATCCTGACAGAAAAGTCTGTTAAGTGATGGTTAAATTATCTTTTATAAACATAAACTTATCCATGCATATAACTTTGTGGAAATCGAAACAATAATTTGTTTATATTTTGAAAGGCAGACAATTCAAACAGAACCACAGAGCACGTGACTTGATAGGAGTTAATCGTTAGATTTAGCAATATGTGGCAATTTTAAAACATAAATAAAATTTGAAAATCGACGTTTATTCAATTCCTTCTATTAGCTCACACTCTCACTATATATATCTTTTCAAATTTCGAATCGTTAATAAAATGCGTTTTATTCCTCCACTCAAGTTCAAATACATTTTTTTGAACTTGTAGTGGATGACACTTGGTGTTAATACAGTTTTCTTCAAATATTAATTCAGTAATTAAATTTAATTAATTAATTTTAGTTTTTTTTTTTTGTATTTGAGTTGCATATATCTACCAATAGATGGCGCCAGATAAACTTAAAAATGAATGAAAATTACTTATAAAGGACTTTCTGCAATATAATGAAAAAAAAAAAAAAAATGTAGGAATTGACTTTAAAAAAACTTTTTTTTTGTATTACTTGCTTTAAATAAAAGTTTTTGAAATTAAAAATTTGTCTTGTTCGAGGAAATTAATCTGTTTAAAAAAATAGCTTGCATATTTTTTATTTTCTATCTTCATTTTTTTGGAGACACCACTGACAGCTAGCCAGGATATTATGTCCATATATGATAAAATATATATTTGTCTGTATTTTCCTATTTATGTTAAATGTTTATGATATATCACTGTCTGGTGAAAACTATTCAAATTTTAAAAATTAGATGAAGAAATGGCTGCATTATGCAGACTGCGAATATCAAGAGAAAAATAATAAAAAGGGTGATGATGAATGTTTAGTTCTTGAATTATTCATGAAGCAATTCTTTTCTTCAGAAATTTATTTTCTCTTTTAAGGTGATAAAAGTGCAGCTCAAAAGTTTGGAGAAAATCTTTCGACATAAACATTCAGATAATGTTCCATTTCCGAGAATATCGTTTTCCATTTTGTTGTCAAAACTATGCATCAAAAATAATAATAATTCCATTTCATCAGTTCAGAACATTAACTGTAACTGAAATACGAAATGCGAGATTCAAAATAAATTGTCATACAAGATTAAAAATTTATTTTTTGAATATGCCGACGTTATTAGGTTTTATAATAATTGTGCATAAAGCATTAAATTTATGCATAGAATAGAAACATTTCAGCGGCAGGCTTTCATAAAATTTTCAAAGCGAAAGAATAAATTCGAGGATTTCTGTCTTTGACGAATTCTTTATCTTAGGACATTAATTCAATATTTGCAGCGAATATAGAAAACCGAAGGATTGCTTTTCATTTCTGTTGTATATTAACAAAATTTATACAAATACCAACGTCCGAACTTCAAATATAAATTATATTTATAAATGACAATAATAAAAGCAAAACATACATTGTATCAAAAAGTGGAATAATCAAAAACTTCTCCAAGCTGCTACAAAATAAATATTATAATTGTATAATATTTCAATCTTATTTAGAAAAGTTATAGTTGCTATATACACTTAATATTTTGTATTATTCAGATAAATTCCTTGATAAAAAGTTATTATTGCTCAAGGGTTTTTTCTAATCATTTAAATTCTTTCAATTACACAAAAAAAAAAATCACATTTGTAACAATTTTTTTCTAATAAATAAATTTCTGAAAATGTGTTCCGAGTTATATTTATGTTCAAACTACTTTGTCCGATGCATTATTTAATATATTAAATAAATTATTCAATTACGCTAAATGTGACCATACGTTCCGGTTTGTAAAGGACAGCACTGTGATGAACACGCACCTCAGCAGTGATAGTTCATCATGTCTTTTCATTAATTTTCATTTCTTACGTGTTTTCTTCTGAAATTTCGATTCTCAACGCATTTTCTTGACTTGCGTTATCTCAATTTATCCAATTACTCTTGAAAAGAGATCAGAAAAAAGAAATAAGAAAAAATAATACAAATAAAAACAGATCTTCAGATAATCAATGGACTTTGATTCCAAAAGTATTAAAGAAGAAGCACCGAAATATGGTGTCGTGCAGAATTTCTGTCACTAAACAATACAAAAAAGGTTAATACATACAAAAAAAACTATGTGTTTTTTCGTAAAAAATTATTTAGCGATATAGTTTTATAATAAGGTTCGTCGCTCATATCAAATTTCCAAGATTAGGATAGACTTTATATCCAAAAGCCTGTTTCAGCTTTTATCTTTTGAACTAGTATGTCATATTTAGGGCACTGGAATAAAATATGTTCCTCGGTTTGTTTTTTACATAGTAGAAATGTTAATCAAAATCTATTGAGTCTGACTTTAAAAGGATAGGTTTTGGGGAGAAATCTTAAAACTAGTACTTCTTCTTTTCCACTGAAAGGCAAGAGACGATGAGTTGGTTTGATACTAATCAAATGCATCAGATTCCGTGCGTAAACATTTTCTATTTTAGTTGTGTTTACTGAAAGAAATTGTAAACATTTACGTTTCACTTTAATTCGCTCCATTTCCATTTTAAATATTAATAAATTGGAACAAAGAAAAAAATGGCCCTACTTCGAATCTCAGAGCTGCACTTTCTTCATGTC